GATGATCGCGGGTCACGGAGAATCATCGAGTTGGGCGCAATGTCGGGGACAGACGCCCTGGCCCGAATGGACGGTTCTTACTGAGGGAGAGCGCCTCTAACGCCTTCGGCAAAAGCTTTCTTGTTAAAGGGTCTTCGGCTTAGAACGAACGTGTTGAGGTCTTTCCAACGAGACCCTAACCAAGTGGAGGCGTTGTGAATTGCATAAGCTCTGAGGGATTTCTCTAGCGCCGAAAGGCGTGTCACCGAAGACGGATTATGCGCCTTGCGCCGAAAGAGAACTCCTTCAGAATTGATCGTTCAGGTCAGGGCGCCTGTTCCGGACATTGCGCCCAACTTCTGGATACTACGAGATTATACGAGACCCGCGATTATCGATCTTCACTCTATTTAAATGTACCGATCACGATTTACACGGCCGCTGCGGTACTGTTTTCCAAAACTGTTTTAAATTCCGCACAAAAACAAAAAGTGGGTTACCACAAAAATAAATTATGGTGAATTTTAGAGAGGAAGTAGACTGTATTCACAAAAATCCTAACGCATAATGATGTAATTTGAGAGGGGTAGTTGACGACCATGCTTGACCAAAGAAAAAGGGAGACTTACCGAAAGCGAGACGTCCAGCAGTAGTCTCAACGAAGATGGTCAGGGCACTAGTGATATATTTGGGGAACAACCTAACTGTACCGTGGTCAGATCCTGCTGTACATGCATGAGACAAATAATTGCTAGCAACCTAAATTGATGGTCGTAAATGAGAAGTTCATTCGGCAGACATGGATAGCACGACCTTATGAACATTCTTAGAAATAAAATATCGTTTTTCCACATCATGTTGGTTCACCTGCTATTGATATATGATGAACGAATGAAATAACAATTCTACACTCTATGGCTGTTTTGATCTTTGCAAAGAAAAGTAACATGCTTGAACAAAATCCTCCAGCCACAATTATAGGAGGGTCCTGACAGATCCTCTTCTTAAGCTTAGGTAGACTTTTCACCTCTATTCTCTTCAATTCTCTTGACACTAGAAAGACATCAGATACAGCATATTGTCCATTCGAAGTATCACCATCTTCTACCTCTATTTTCATTTCTATGTGAAGCATAGTTGCTGCTCAACATTCTTCAATCTACCTTTTGGTCAATCATCCCTCGGTTGTAGATCTGTTAACTTATATTTCACAAACCACAGTGCTTGGAGCTTTATTACTGAATACAGCTCTTACCTTGAAAATCTTCATTTTTTTCTCCTCAGCTAACAACATGGAGATTGCTGCCCAGTTCAAGTTCCAAACTAATCTACATCCTGTACAAAATGGGTGTAGTCTATTGTACATAATTTCCAAATTAGCTTCGATCATCTCAATTTTGTTATCATCAGCGATTGAATGCTTGCCCGTTATCCAGCCAGTGGAATGAATCATCTTCTTTCCAAACTCCACCTAGCCACGAAGAAGAAATGTGTAAACCATAGAATCACCAAGATGCGGAACAATTCGATCCAAGAATAATCAAACGGATTGGTCACACCTAACTCCTTGCAATAAGACATATCTCTAGTCTCCGAGCTTGTCACTCACAATACGCCCATGGTGCTCATGATCGATATTGATTGAACGTGCGGAAGAAGGAAGAGTTATGATGCATTCGCAAGACCTTTCTTAGAATGTCAAGGATGGGTCTGAACATGAGACACAACAAACTTTAAGCTTGTAGAAAATTTAATCTGTGCAGATGATTCTCTTCTTATACATTGCGGAGAAGATATAACTACATCAAGCCTGTCAAATAAGACTCTTGAACAAGTCTCAAATTTGTATCGTCATCAAGCTCTTATGGAAAGCGTGGATGGTCCTACACATCTCTGATGTTTCTTCACACCAACACAGGTGAGTGTGCTACAATCTCACATCATTTCAACCTTACAGCATCTGAACATCAAAGTAATCCCATATCGATCATATCTACTGTTACCTTACATATTTACTACTCGGTGTAGTGTTGATCTTGTCCAGCTGTCAAGATCATCATCTACGCTCGCAGTTTATTTTAGTTATCCTACCAGTGGCAGATCAGTATGTGGACATTGTCATGATATGGGTCTTATTGTCCACTTGTGGACGTCTTCTTGAAGGTCCTTATTGGCAGCAACACCAGGGCTTGAAGCCGCACAAAAAACCAGAATGCGGCTTGCAGCAGCATAGACGAATAAGACATCCTTTACTCCTTGGTTTTGAATGATCTGCTCAAGACACCTCGCACTTATGATTGTGGTAAAAAATGCTTGACAAAGAAAGCAAATTCTAGAGTTTAACCTCCTTGTCTAGCTTTGAGGAAATCGAAAATAAAAAGCGCAGAGAAAACCATTACCCCATAGACCTTCTTGTTGTTGTAAAGCGTTGGCAAAATTGCCCATGGCAAACTGAAGAAGGAGGAGACATGCACAGAAGAGGAGCAGCTTTTTCCACTCCATAACTCTCCTTCTTCGGTTGAATCAAAGAACAGAGTTCGACCTGAGTAAGTCAACTTTCCAAGATGGACGATATACCTTCACAAAGTAGCTTTCACCCACTTACAGTCACACAAGGCCGAGAACCTTCTTGAATTTATGCTCCCTGCAAGAGTGTTCTGAGTGTTTATCTATGATCAGGATTGTGATGTTGAAAAATCACATCAGGCAATATTCGACTGACGGAAAATATAGTATATTGTATATATACAAGGTGATTTATACAGAGAGGGTAGATTGGAAGAGCGAAACTCCTAAGAGTCACAAACATCAATATCACATCAGGTAATATTTGATTAATGAGAAAAAAAAATTATGATTAAATTGATGGTGACCTGTCGACAGCTTCTAGACTGGATTAGCAAAACTCCTAAAAGTTACTGACATCGCTATCACATCACGTGATATTTGACCGATAAAAAAAGGATATTCATTCAGATTAAATTTTTGGTGACTTGTGGACAGGTTTTTGCCTGGATTAAAAAAACTCCTAAAGAGTTGCTTACATCATTATCACATCAGGAGAAATTGGACTAAAGAAAAAGGGATATTCAGAATAATTTTTATGGTGACTTGTAGACAGGTTGTAGACTGGAGTACCAAAACTGAAAAAGAGTTCTTGACATCAATCTCACATCATAAGATATTTGACTGATGAAAAAAGGATATTCATTCAGATTAAATTTATGGTGACTTGTAGACAGGTTGTAGGCTGGATTAGCAAAACTCCTAAAGAGTAACTGACTTCAATATCCCATCAGGAGAGATTTGACTGATGAAAAAAAAAGAATTATTTAGATTAAATATATGTTGACTTGTAGACAGATAGTTAACCTCCTAAAGAGTCACTGACATCAATATCACATCAGGAGATATTTTATTGATGAAAAAAGGATATTCAGAATAATTTTAATGGTGACTTGTAGACAGGTTGTAGGCTGGATTAGCAAAACTCCTCAAGAGTAACTGGCATCAATATCACATCAGGAGAGATTTGACTGATGAAAAAATGATATTCAGAATAATTTTTATGGTGATTTGTGGACAGGTAGTAGACTGGATTAGCAAAACTCCTAAAGAGTTACTGAAATCAATGAGATATTTGACTGATGAAAAAAGGATATTCAAAATAGTTTTTGTGTGACTCGTAGACAGGTTGTAGACTGGAGTAGGAGAAATCCTAAAGAGTTACTGACATCAATATCACATCAGGAGATGTTTAAGTGATGAAAAAAGATGAAAAAAAAATATCGCCATCCTCCTCTTTCTGGACAATGGTCCAGGAAGCGTAGTGATTGGCGAGCATTCGACGGTGTGCGTCTTACTCAAAGTTCTACATGCAGTCTAGAGTAAGCCTAGAGTAAGGCTTCCATCAGCACTGATCGAAAGGCGGGAAAATTTAACTGCCAACAACTGTCACAAACTGCTTTATCTAGATCGAAGATCACTCACATGATTTTATTTTCACTGCATTCGTCCACTACGGTAAAGCAAATCACTGGCAGATGATTGATAGACTTCTTCAGAGAAGTGTCATCTGTTGTAGACCTCATAGATCCGTATGTGGAACGACACCCATCGGAATATGCTTCTTTCATTGAAATGCAAACCATCAGGATATGAACAAATGCGTAGCGGCTTTACCTGGGACTATCTTCCTTTGAAATATTTCAGATTTCACTGCAAATGCAAGCTAATTCTAATGTGAAAATTAAGGATGCAGTGGTGCATGAGACGAGCCAGAAACTAGCCGCCGCCATGGATCAAGTAGACAGCTTGGAGAAACAGCTTGAAGAGCTCAATGACTTGTACAACTCATTGAGTGCTCAAAGTACGAAAGATGCCACAGAAACAATCAACTTGCAGGATCAGATCAATTCCCTACACAACCACATTGCTGAACTCGAGCTGAGCATGGAAATGGAAGCAGCTGCCAGGCCAAAGCTGGAGGCTGATTCCTACGAAGTTGTGGCTTGCATCCAGGAGGTTACGCAGGAGGGATGGGGTGATAAGACTGTCAGCCTATCTGAAAGCAACTCTGCTAGTTCCGAAGCAACCAGTCTTCTTGAGGAAATGAGCAATCTGCTTATAGCAAAGAACAAGGCAGTCGCTCAAGAAGTGGAAGCCAAAACATTCTCGAAACAGGAATCTATGTCTCAAATGCAACAAATGCTCGAGTCGAAAGATCTAGAGTTGAGCGAATTGAGTAAGAGAATGGAAGAGGCTGCTTCACATATGGCTCAGCAAGAAGACGTTGTCCAAGGGAAAGAGATGCTTTGAAGAACGAGCTTGTTCTTGCTGAGCAAAGAACAGCCAATACCTGGGAAAAGCTGAGTCTTGCTGTAAGAAAGGCAAGGACGTTGTGTAACAGCGAGACTCCTTGAAACAATCATATTCCATCCAAGCAGGAGGTACTGCTAGCGAAGTGTAAGGAGGAACTGGCCAGTAAAGAGTCTATGGTGTAGAGGATCAAGGACAAATTGATGACGTCTAACCGGAAGGTTGAAGACCTAGAAGCAAATGTAGAGTCTTTGATGAGACGTAAGTCGGTCCTTGAGCGTGACACGCTTGACAAAAAGAATCTCCTTCAGGCTCTGGAGACGCGTCTGGGCAAATACAGTTCGCAAAATGAATGGCGCTCGATGAAGTTGACGCAGAAAGTTCATTGGTTGGTCTCTGCTATTGCTGATGCTGAAATCAGGGAACTGGTGTCTTCCCAAGAAGCGGAGGCAGCAAGGAAAGAGTCGAGTCACCTACGCTCACATATGAGAGACACTCAATATGAAGTTGAATGTGAAAAAGAATCGCTTTCCATTCTGACCATGAAGCTGGAGAAGACTGAAAATGAGCTCCAACGGAATCAGCATCGAACGGCAGAATTGGAAGCTCATCTACCTGCTCTTGCATCAGCTCATCATCAATCGGAGATACTTTTGGAGAAAGTTTGGAGTCTAGAATACCTTCTTGAGAAGGAGCAGGAAAAGGTTACGAATCTAGAATCCATCCTGGAGCAAAAGCAGGCTGAGATGAGGAAAGCAGAAGAGGCCATCTATGCTTGGACGGGACGGTCCGAGGAGACCGAAGCTTATCTTCAGAGAAGTCAGATGCGCATTTCAGAGTTGGAGGCGCACTTGCGAAAATTGAGCGCGATTCAACAGCAAGCTGAAGAACTCTCCAAACAGGTCCAGGGTCTAGAGGAGGTTGTTCAACAGAAACAGTCTGCTTTGAAAGCTTTGGAAGCTTCTCGTACAAAAGCCGTGAACAAGCTAACTAAAACTGTTAACAAGTTCAGAGAACTATGTCAACAGTCAAAAGGAGTTGTTGATGACCTGAAGCGTGTGCAAGGAAGTGTAGAAAGCAAGGATGCCGAGATAAATCAGCTGAAGGAAGAGCTTGGAAGATTCTGCGCTGAAGCTCGGCAGTTACAAGAGAGTAGATTTCAGCAACGCTCTCCTCGTGGAACTTGAGCAGAGACTGCAAAGTGATGAGATTTCGCAGGTAGGGAAACGGTCGATACCGTCCACTTCTGCAGCTTCGCAGATTGCGCGGTACAAAGAAGCCTGCTTCGTTTGATGTAGGTATCGATATGGATGTGGGATCAAGCGGATTGCTGGAGGTTTCAGACGAAAAAGGTAAGAATACAATGTTCCTTTCAACAACTTATGACATTCACAATCAGCCAACGACTGAAACTGCAGATCACATCTGAATTTGATCATGGGCATTCATGGTTCTCTGAGTTATAATTTTGTTTCTTAATTTAATTTCTATTTAAGTTTGAAATTAGCTTCGAACATCTAAATACTTTTTTCATCAGCGATTGAATGCTTGACCGTTATCTACCCAGTGAAATGAGCCATCTTCTTTGCAAACTCGAACTAGCCACGAAGAAATGTGTAAACCAAAGAATCACCAAGATGCATAACACTTCGATCCAAGAATAATCAAACGGATTGGTCACACCTAGCTCCTTGCTATTGGTTATATCTCCGGTCTCGAGCTTGTTACTCACAGTATGACAATGGTGCTCATGATGGACGGTAGTTGAACGTGCTAGGAGGTTTCTCTGGTAAACATTTCAATGCTCAAGCAGTAAGCCACAAACGGAACGCGGAAGTAGGAAGAATATTGCATTTTCAAGACCTTTCTTAGAATGTCAAGGATGGGTCTGAGCATGAGACAAAGCAAACCTTAAACATGTAGCACCTTCAATCTGTGCAGATGATTATCTTCTTTTTTACACATTGCGGAGAAGAAGATACCATCACATCAAGCCTACCAAATTAGACACTTGAACAAGTCTCAAATATGTATTGTATTCAAGCTCTGATGTATGGCGTGGAAGGTCCTACACATCTCTAATGACGTCTGTGCACTGCACAGACGTCGAATAAACTGCAGTGTGCAGTTTATTCACACCAGCACAGGAGAGTGTGCTACAATCTCACCTCATTTCAAATTACAGCATCTGAGCAACTAATCAATCCTATATCGATCAGATCCATTGTTACTTCAAGTATATACTACTCGGTGTAGTGGTGATCTTGTCCAGCTGTCAAGATGATTATCTACATTTGCAGTTTATTGCAGTTATCCTATAAGTAGAAGATCAGAATTTGGACATTGACATGATATGGGTCTAATTGTCGACTTGTGGACGTCTTCTTGAAGGTCCTTGTTAACAGCAACACGTGTGCTTGAAGGAGCACCACCAAGTATTGGGCTTGCAGCAGCATAGAGGAATGAGACACCGTTTACGCGTTGGTTCTAAATGATCTGCTCAAGACACCTCGCATTTATCAGTGCGGTCAATAATACTTGACAAACCAAGCAAATTATAGAGTTTGAACTTCTACTCTAGCTTTGAGGAAATCGAAAATTACAAGTGCAGAGAAAACCATAACCCAATGAACCTTCTTCTTGCAGTAAGGCGTTGGCAAAATTGCCCATGGCAACTTGAAGGAAGAGGAGACATGCACAGAAGAGGAGCAGCTTTCTCCACTCCATAACTTTCCTTCTTCGGTTGGATCGAAGAACAGAGTTTCCCCAGTTGTATGATATCCCTTCACAAAGTAGTTCTCACTCACAAACCGAAACACGTCATTCTCCCTGCAAGAGCTCTCTCCCTGAAATAGTGTTCTGAGTGTTCATCTATGATCAGGATTGTGATGATGAAAAATCACAGAGAGCGACATTCGACTGATGAAAAAAAATAGTACATTCAAAATAGATTCATGGTGATTTGTAGAGAGAGAGTAGATTGGGATAGCGACACTCCTAAGAGTCAATAACATCAATATCACATCAGCTGATATTTGACTGATGAAAAAAGGAAATTTAGATCAATTTTATGGTGATTTGTACACAGGTGGTGGACTGGATTAGAAAAACTCCTAAAAAGTTACTGACATCGATATCATATCAGGTGATATTTGACTGATGGAAAAAGGATATTTAGATACAATCTATGGTGACTTGTAGACAGGTAGAAGACTGGATGAGAAAAACTCCTAAAGAATTACTGACATAAGTATCACATCAGGTGATATTTGACTGATGAAAAAAGATATTCAGATACAATTTATGGTGACTTGTAGACAGGTAGCAGACTGGATTAGAAAAACTCCTAAAGAGTTACTGACATAAGTATCACATCAGGTGATATTTGACTGATGACAAAATGAATTCAGATAAAATCTATAGTGATTTCCAGACAGGTAGTAGACTGGATGAGCAAAACCCCTGAAGAGTTACTGACATCAACATCACATCGGGTGATATTTGACTGATGAAAAAAGGATATTCAGATTAAATTTTTGGTGACTTGCAGACAGGTAGTAGACTGGATTAGCAAAACTCCTCAAGAGTTACTGACATCAAAATCACATCAGGTGATATTTGACTGATGCTAAAATGGATATTTAGATTTAACTTATGGTGACTTGAAGAGAGAAAGTAGATTGGATTTTTTTAACTCCTAAAGAGTTGTTGAAATAAATATCACATCAGGTCATATTTGACTGATGAAAAAAAAAATTTCACATCAAAGTTATGGTGACTTGTATGGAGAGAGTAGATTGGATAAGCGAAACTCCTAGAGAGTCACTAGTATCAATAACACATCGGGTGATATTCGACTAATGATAAAAGATTTTCACAATAAATTTATGGTGAATTTAAGAGAGGAAGTAGACTGGATTCGCAAAATTCCTAACGCATAATGATGTGATTTGAGAGGAATAGTTGACGACCATGCTTGACCAAGGAAAAGGGGAGATTTACCGAAAGCGAGACGTCCAGCAGGCGTCTCAACGAAGTTGGTCAGGGGCACTAGTAATATATTTGGGGAACAAGCTAACTGTCCCGTGGTCAGATCCTGCTGTACAGTGTACATGCATGAGACAAATAATTGCTAGCACCCTAACTTGATGGTCGTAAATCAGAAGGTCATTCGGCAGACATGGATAGCACGACCTCATTGTACATTCTTAGAATTGAAGTATCGTATTATTACCACATTATGTTCTTCTCTGTATGGAAGGTGCTGCATACGTTGCCATTCATCAACGTGACTAGCCCATTCCCTTAAACCCTTCCTCCCTAAGCTATATTGAATGACAACTGCCTGGCTGATTGGAGCGAGCAACGTACGAGTATCATCTTCTGAAGTATCATCACCACCCTCTTTCTCACTGTCCAGGTATGTCCAGGAAGCCTAGTGATTGGCAAGCATTCCAAGGAGTGCGTCTTACTCCAAGTTTTCCATGCAGGTCTCCAGGCTTCCATCTGCACTGATTGAAAGGCAGGAACTAAACTGCCAACAACTGTCACAAACTGCTTAATCCAGATCCAAGTTCATTCACATGATTTTATTTTCCACTGCAATCGTCCACGACGGTAGTGATAGTAAGTGGCAGATGATTGATTGACTTTTTCAGAGAAGCGTCTTCTCTTGTAGACCTGATAGATCCGTATATGGAACGACACCCATCGGAAACTGCCTCTTTGATTGTAATGAAAACGATCAGGATATGAACGAATGTGCAGCGGCTCTAGCTGGAATATCCTACCTTTGAAATATTGCAAACTTTACTGCTAATGCAAGCTATGTCTCACGTGAAAATTTAACCTCTATCGAAAAGGCTCTAGATGTGGCAGATTAGACTATGTCATGTGATCTAAAACGTAGCCATAACAGGTCTGATACAACCATTGTCAATATGTTCATATTACTGTCAACATTTGCTTAAGTTCCAGGGGAGATAGACTGGGACCTTCTAAACCTGCGCATAGAAATGCGCAGGTTTAATTTCGATCATTACCAAAATGAAAGTCTTTGTACAACTTGAGAGAACAACCGGTGAGAACTCTTTGTGACCGTTCAGTTGATGCTAATTACTTACGGGTTATGTTTTGATACCCAAACAGCCCTACTTCTAAATAACGCGTTGTGGGCAGATCTAGGCCCAACCTGGTTCTCACTTTTTCTGGCGGCAGAGTACACTTCTTCACACCAGAATTGAAGATACGAATCTCAAGAAGGGTTTCTCCCGGTTCCCTCGCCACTGCAAGGCGAATCATCCCAGAAGAGCACTGATTACTAGAAAACGAGATCCTGGAATATTGCAACTCTTTGATTTTCTGCTTAACTTTCATCTCGTTGTGTTACTCTTCTTCCTAATAGGTTGAAGACGTTTATTTGAAGCTGACCACTCATAAACGGGTGGACGCAATTGGCAATACTCACGGGAATCGGTGTCAATATTTTTTTGTACCAAAGATTTCGATCCTTCCGGGGAATTACTACATCCTTGAAGAATGCCTTTATGTTCCACGTCAAGATCAAGTTATGGTTTTGAAGGTTGAAATCGAGGATTTTAGGGTTCAAAACCATAACTTGATCTTGACGTGCAACATACAGGCATTCTTCAAGGATGTAATAATTTCCCGGAAGGATCGATATATTCGGTACAAAAAAATATTCAACTTGAACACATAGTTTTACGAAAGAAGTAGTTAGAATATACAACTTAATTCTTTTTTCACAAATACTGATAATTTGACCATCCACAGTCATGGAAGTCATGGAAGCCATCGTTGTAAATCCAGTCATAGAGAGTACATCAAGCCAACATCATGAAACTCTACGAAATGGACACACAAAACAAAACAAGAACTTCAAATAGTGCCCTTACAAAACAATTTAACACAGACCTGACTGTTTTTGTGACCTCAGGTCTGTGCATATTTTTGAATCTTTGCTTTCCTAATAGTACTTCTTCGAAAACGTAGAAATTATCTATTCACTCTTGACATTTCTTTGCCCAGCAGCTTTGTGAACCGAAATATCTCGTTAGGGACATTCCTGGGTGATTCTTTTTCAATTCCATATCTGCCAATTTTTTTGCTAATCACTTGATAGCAGATGACTCACGATGAGGTGCTGAGTGGAAAAATCTTGGAGTTATAATCTACATTTCAAAAGTTTTTGAAATGTAAGTATAAGTAAGTATATTCTACACACCCGCTATTATTCACCTGCTATTGACAAATGATGAATGAATGAAATAAAAATACAACAGTCCATGGCTGCTTTGTTCTCTGAAAAGAAAAGTAACTTGCTTCACCAAAACCCTCCACCCACAATTATTGTTGGAGGGTCCTGACAGATCCCCTTCATATCGTTAGGTAGACTTTTCACGAAATTCTCTTGACACTACAAAGACATCAGATACAGCATATTGTCCATTCGAAGTATCACCATCTTCTTCCTCCATTTCCATTTCTATATGAAGCATAGTTGCTGCAAACATTCTTCAGTCTACCTCTTTGTCAATCATCCCTCGGTTGTAGATATGATAAATTCTATTGTACAAATCACAGTGATTGGAGCTTTATTACAGAATACAGCTCTTACTTTGAAAGTCCTTATATTTTTCTGCTCAGCTTACAACATGGAGATTGCTGCCCAGTTCAAGTTCAAGACATTTCTACAACCTGTACAAAAGGGTGTAATATATTGTAAACTAGTTTCAAATTAGCTTCGATACTCTAAATACTGTTTTCATCAGCGATTGAATGCTTGACCGTTATCTACTCAGTGAAATGAGCCATCTTCTTTGCAAACTCCAACTAGCCACGAAGAAATGTGTAAACCAAAGATTCACCAAGATGCATAACACTTCGATCCAAGAATAATCAAACGGATTGGTCACACCTAGCTCATTGCTATGGGTTATATCTACGGTCTCGAGTTTGTTACTCACAGTACGACAATGGTCCTCATGATCGATGGTAATCGAACGTGCTAGGAGGTTTCTCTGGTAAACATTTCAGTGCTCAGGCAGTAAGCCACAAACGGAACGCGGAAGTAGGAAGAGTTATGCATTCGCAACACCTTTCTTAGAATGTCAAGGATGGGTCTCAGCATGAGACAATGCAAACCTTAAACTAACAGTGTAGCAACTTCAATATGTGCAGATGATTATCTTCTTTTTTACATATTGCGGAGAAGAAACAATCACATCAAGCCTATCAAATTAGACACTTGCACAAGTCTCAAATTTGTATGTTGTCAAGCTCTGATGTAAGGCGTGGAGGGTCCTACACATCTCTAATGACGTTGAAAAAGTCTCACACCAGCACAGGAGAGTGTGCTACAATCTCACTTCATTTCAACCTTACAGCATCTGAACATCAAATCAATCCTATATCGATCAGATCCACTGTTACTTCAAGTATATACTGCTCGGTGTGGTGGTGATCTTGTCCAGCTGTCAAGATCATTATCTACGTTCGCAGTTTATTGTAGTTAACCTACCAGTGGCAGATCTGTACTGTATGTGGAAACTGTCATGATATGGGTCTTATTGTCGACTTGTGGACGTCTTCTTGAAGGTCCTTGTTAACAGAAACACGTGTGCTTGAAGGGGCACCACCAAGTTTTCTTACAGCAGCATAGAGGAATAAGACACTTACGTGTTGGTTCCAAATGATCTGCTCAAGACACCTCGGATTTATCAGTGCGGTCAAAAATACTTGACAAACGAAGAAAATTATAGAGTTTGACCTTTTTGTCCTAGCTTTGAGGAAATCGAAAATCAAAAGTGCAGAGAAAACCATTACCCCATGAACCATCTTCTTGCAGAAAAGCGTGGGCAAATTTGCCCATGGCAACTTGAAGGAGGAGGAGACATGCCCAGAACAGTAGCTTTCTCCACTCCATAACTTTCCTTCTTCGGTTGGATCGAATAACAGAGTTCGACCTGAGTAAACAAGTTTCCCAAGGTGGACGATATCCCTTCACAAAGTAGTTCTCACTCTCAAAATTCTAAGACCGAAACACGTCTTGAATTTATGCTCCCTGCAAGAGTGTTCTGATCAGTGTTTATACATGATCAGGACTGTGATGTTAAAAAAACACTAATATAATATTCCTTGGGATGCCAATCACGTCAATATCACGTAACTATATATTCGATTGATGAAAAAATAGAGAATTTTCCAAATACATTTATGGTGATTTGTAGAGAGAGAAGAGTACATTAGATAAGCTTAACTTCTAAGAGTAACTAACGTCAAAATCACATCAGGTGATATATTTGACGATGAGAAAAGTGTATTCAGATTAAATTTATGGTGACTTGTAGATAGGTAGTAGACTGGATTAGAAAAACTTCTAAAGAGTTACTGACATCAATATCACATCAGGTGATATTTGACAATGAAAAAAAGATATTTAGATTAAATTTATGGCTACTTGCAGACAGGTAGTAGATTGGATTAGCGAAACTCCCAAAGAGTTACTGACATCAATATCACATCAGGTGATATTTGACTGATGAGAAAATGATATTTAGTTAAAATTTATGGTGACTTTTAGATTTATGGTGACAGGTAGTAGACTGGATTAGCGAAACTCCTAAAGAATAACTGAATTGAATATCACATCAGGTGATATTTGATTGGATGTCAAAAAGGATATTTAGATTAAATTCATGGTGACTTGTAGAGAGCAAGTAGATTGGATTAGCAAAACTCCTATAGAGTAGCTGAAAGCAATATCACATCAGGTGATATTTCGCTGATGAGAAAAGAATATTCAGATTAATTTTATGGTCACTTGTAGAGAGAGAGAGTAGATTGGATAAGCGAAACTCCTAAAGAGTCACTTACCTCGAGATCACATCAGATGATATTCGAATGATGAAAAAAGATGTTCAGAATAAATTTTTTGTGACTTTAAGAGATGAGGTTGACTGGATTAGCAAAACTCCCAAATTCTAATGATGTGATTTGAGAGACGTAGTTGATGACCATGCTTGACCAGGATAAGGCAAGATGTACTGGAAGCCAGGTGTCCCAGCAGGCGTCTCAACGAAGATGGCCCGGGCACTCGTGAAATATTGGGGAACAAGCTAACTGACCCGTGGTCAGGTCCTGCTGGACATGCAGGAGACAAAAATAGCTAGCAGCCAAACTTGATGCTCTTAAATTAGAAGTTCATTTGGCAGACATGGATAGCACGACCTCATTCAACAATCTTAGAATTAAATTATAGTTTTCTTTCCACATTTTGTTCTTCTCTGTACAGGAGATGCTGCATACGTTGCCTATCATCAACATGATTCCCTACACAAAAAATAGGAATATTATCAAGAACTCAGTTTGTTTTGTCTTTGATTTTCTCATGAGATTGAGTATATTTAGAGTAATGCTGTGTAGTACGAACGTTAAGTAGCACCTTAGAAAAATAATTTCGACTATATAATCTCTTATTCGGAAAATATATTTTGATTTTTTTCTTCGTCATACTTCACTCTGATTGATGAAATTTATTTGATTTTGCTAAAAATATATGTAAATTAGATTACAACTTAATTAATCGCCACAATCTAAAATAGCATGTGATTTTCACTAGCTTTATGAAATTTTAGCTATTATTTGCACTTTAATTGATCAAATGAATCAACTGCGCAAATTTTATTTCTCAAAAAGCTTACGAATTCACTCCAAATATGAGCTTAGATTATGATTTTATAATTCAATGATAAAATTGCCTGTTGTTTTAAGTAGTAAAGTCAAAACGAAGAGACCGAGTCATAGCCAACAAACCTTAACGTTCAATCCTATAAGCATAACGGCAGTCGATATTACCCTTGCTTGAAAATCATTAAATCTAACCATCTTTCCCTTAATACCATCCTCCTTAATCTATTTAATTATTTCGGGGAAAGCAGTAGAAAAAATCCTTACAAAGGCCTTTCTTTAAACTAGAGCTAACCTAGGCCTCATAAATTATGGTATTTGTTAACAAAATCCCATAATTAACCAAAATTTAATCTTGTGTCATCCATAAATTAAGAGTTCATGATCACAAATTTAGCTTTGCCACAAGTAGAATTATGATACATTGTCTTTGTCACAAGTAGTATTATGTTACGTATTCTTTGTCTTTGTACAAAAATCACTATCTCATAATACTTACCCACACTCACACGTGAGGAAGTCAATTAGCGTCTAGTTATACTTTGCGTATCAATTCTATTTATTGACAAACCCCAAAATTAACAAGATTAAAATCCACATTTTAAGTTGATTTTGTTAGTTATGGAAATTTTCAGAACTTATGAGGCCTGAGCTAACCGGAACTTAGAAGTATATTAAACAAAATAGAGTAAAAATATATATAGATATTTAGAATGTTGATATACTCTACTTGTGCTCCTCATGCAGAAGTTATTTTACTCATTTACCAACATTCACAATATCTACTTAAATTCTCCAAAGGATAGCTTTGATCAATGCATTAGCTCAATCTTGTTGGAAATGCATAGATCCTAGTTGAGTTCGCTGATATATTAGTGAAGTGATCGAGTACATATAGTCTAGGGTATCTTGTCTTCTAGTGTTGCCTTATCTCTAATCACCTCAATTGCTACACATCTGATTACCTGGTTGGCTCAAGTCCTCACCTTTATATTAAGGTGACCGTTAACATAAGACAACATACTAAACTAACTTTACGTACTCTAAGAGTATGTAATTCTAACACCTTCCCTTACTCTAGAGTGCAAAAGATAATTTATGAGATAAACTTCAAAGAAAACTTTTCAAGGAATGTTGAATCTGAGAGGCAAGGGCAAGGCAATATCGGAGGATATTAAGGAGTTATTGTTCTCTATTCTATGGAGATTTCTTTGCATGTTATTGAGATCCATGGTGCTGAACCTGAAAGCGAGGGGATGCAGCCGGCTGCAGTGAGTCCAAGGTGGGGGGAGATGTAGGACAGAGGAGTAGATTTGAGGCCTCCACTTGATGTCGCTGATGTACTTTCTGAACCGGAATTCGTAGGTGAGATTTCAGATTTTTGATAAGGAAGTAATTTGAAGTAGCCATTAGAAGACGCCATGACGTCTACTTGAGCGAACGAGAGGCTACGTTTCAAGTAGTGGAGTATCTAGGATACATGCGGAAAGCATTTAGAACTAGGAGAGAAGCAGAGCTTTTTGTTCAACTTAGGCGTTAGAACTGCTTGGTAAGGAAACAAGAGAGCCGTCACTCAAAGTTGACATATTGCGGAGGCCTAAAAAATGTCGATGCTGATTGAATTTTAACCTCGGCATTGACTAGCATGTCTGCTGGATGAAGCTTAGTTGACAGAAAATTGATGATAATTTTGCCTAGAGCAACTCTCTCCCTAATGAAATGATGTTGTATGCCTATATGTTTGCTACGGGCATGAAACACGGGATTTTTTGCGAGTTTCATGGCACTCTTGTTTTTGCAATGAACAATTGTAGATTTCTCAAATAAGTCAAAGTTGTGAAGTGCGGATGTTACCTTGACATCCTTACATGAAAGTGATGTAGGTAGTATTGTTGTCGGATAAATTTCTTGGACCAATTGGCAAAGCCAAATGACCTCATGAGCATCAAATAAAATGGCCTTGTATTTGCTTTCAATGTATGAAAGCGATACCAAAGATTGACTTTTGGAGCACCAGCAAATTGCACCACCAACAAGAGTAAAAGCATAGGCTCCGATGGATTTAAAAGTTTTCATGAAAGAGTCCCAAGTGACGTCAGTGTATCCCTATAACTATAGTGAAAAACCTCGTAGGAAAAAACAAGTCGTGATACAACGTACCTTTTAAACATTGTAGGGTATGGATCCCACCTCCAAATGGACTTTTTGAGGCTTGGTGTGAGCACAAAACTGTGCTCACATGTCTTTTTACCCTTATGAGAGTTAAAAGTTTGGATTCAAGCTCTTGCAAAATTATGCTTGGGGTTTTCTGAAAGTTTCTGCAAGATTAGAAGTTGGTGTGATGGTTAGGGGGCAAGAGGTGCGGAAGGAGGCCTTCGGGGCAAGGTCTTCGGCGAGGTGCCTTCGGTGAAGTCCCTTCGGAAAAGGCCTTCGGCGAAGAAGTGAAACTCTCATAACGTTTTCAATGTGTGACGCCTTGACTCAAATAGGGTCTTGTTGGAAAGAGCTCGCAACGCTCGTTCCAACGAAACCAAGAACTCTTGAAACGGATAATGCATCACCAAGTTAGAAGCGGCGGAAGTTTCTGATATGGAGGGCCTTCGGCGGCCTACGCGTAGGCGGACGCCTTTGGCGGAAGGGTAAAATCGACATAACGTTTTCAATTCTTAACGGTTTGCGGTGGTTAGGGTTTCGTTGGAAAGAACTCAACACGCTCGTTCTAACGAGCCCAAGAACGCTTCGAACGGATGAGGACTTAGGGAGTTATGACTATCGGAAAATACGTAGACGTTCGCCTTCGGCGGAAGGAGTTCGCCTCTGGCGGAAATTCCGCCTACGCAGAAGGGAGTCCAACTTTTGTCCGATGCGCGGACGTACGCCTTTGGCGGTTGCAGGCCTTCGGCGAAGCAGTAAAACCGGCATATCTTTTTCAATTCTTAGCGGTTTGACTTGATTCGGGTTTCGTTGGAAAGAACTCGACGCGCTGGTTCCAACGAGACCAAAATCTCTTGAAACGAATCAGTCATCAATGAGTTATGAGCGTCGAAAGCGGCTGTCATGGTTAGGCGAGAGGCCTTCGGCGTTAACCGTTAGAGGGGCTTTCGGCGTTAACATATAGAGGGGCCTTTGGCCCAAGGACGGCCTGCGAGTAGGCGGCCTGTGGATAGGCGGACGCCTGCAAGTAGGCGGACGCCTGTGGGTAGGCGGCCTGTGGATAGGCGGACGTCTGTGGATAGGCTGTCTGTGGATAGGCGGACGCCTGCAAGTAGGCGAACGCCTGTGGATAGGCGGCATGTGGATAGGCGGACGCCTGTGGGTAGGCGGCCTGCGGGTAGGACGCGGACGCCTGCG